TCCCTTTCTCAGAGATCTTTTTTAAAGAGAATTGAAGAATAATCTTGTCCTTCAGTGGAGATCTATTCCACTGAATAGACTATTTTTTACAATAGCCGATGCCCCTGCCAGCCCACAGGAAATCAAACTGACTGATTAGAAGAGTCTAAAAACTGTTACTGGAAGTGAAAAAGGACGTGGAGCAAGGACAGCTATTTTTAAGCTGTGCAGCAGTGGTGCCTGCTGATTCAACAGCACCAAAGTTATAATTTCTTGTTGAACATACAGTTACTTTTTTTTCCTCTTTTCAAACCCGTAGCCAAACTTGCAATCCGTGCCCTGTGATTCATTACAGTGGCTACCAAAGGGACAGAAGGGACCAGTTTAAGACAAAATTCAAATATTGGACTCCTTGAGACTTGCACCGGAGTGCAAATTCCATTTGCAGATCTTAATGATGAATGAAAGGAAGCCCCAGATGAGTTTGTCAGAAAAGACCAGATGATTTTGGGTTTACCAGGTATCTGGAGAAGGGGCAAATAAATATGTGAGCACTAGTTATTGGCAATGCATGCCAGGCATCCCATGGATGGCAGAGCCAAGAGTTTCTGGTTTTATCACCCCAGATCCTCCAGCCAAGTGCAGTGGCCAGGGAAGAACCTGAAAACAGGTTTCAGGAGATGATAGAAGTTTAAAAGGAGGGGGAGGCAAGAGAAGATATATCCATTGGTGCTAAATGGAATAAAGAATTATATACAAACAGCACAAGCCTGCAGCAGCTGCAGCCAAGAAAACAAATCAACCATTTATTACTTCTCCTTCAGTGTTTTTAAATATTTATGGAGTGCCATCAATAACCAAGTTAATTGTGAATGGCTGATGGTGTATTTGCAAAGCCTTCTTTCACCTGCAAGTACCTGAACTGCCATGAAAGGGACTTTTCATCAATGACAATAATTATTTGGCCCTTTAGCAGCATTCTGTGTGCCTTATGGCATAATCCTGGGCAGCCACTCCCACGGGGCTTTGCGTGGTGTTATTGCTGAGTGGAGTTGAGGAATACCAAGGGAACGGGAAGCACTCAGTTCTATGTGTGTGTTCACACAGCCTGAGAGCCCTCTTGGAGAAAGAAAGCAGCCCCATTTTGCCAGGCAGACGCTCCACAGCTGAGCAAACAAAAATGCTCGACAGTCCCTGCCGTTTACCAAGGTAGAAATTAATCCAGAGTGACCTCATTGGTGCCTGTAGCACTTGCTTAACTCAGTGTTTAAATAAAAATAAACAAAGAACCAAACCCAGCTTGTGCAGTGACCCGGTGTCAGAACTGAAGAATTTGTCTCCAGACTGATTTAATCATATCAGAAAGATGGATGCCAGGATTCATTACTGTGACAAAATGTTTATATTGTTTAATCACATTATCCACCAGCTTTCAGCCAGGCTGAGACAGGCTTATGTGACACCAACCACAGTGGGGATCACACGAGCTGCCTCCCACCTGCTGCTGCCTCACACACTTGGTTTTAGGAGGTTTCTGCAGTCCCCATGAGAGGCTGAGCACCCAAAAGTTGCCCCACACACCTCCCTTTACTGCTGCTTTTACCTATTTCTTTCCTTCCAGTTCCCTGGCCTGTGTGAACAAGGCCTTTTCACCCAGATGGGTAGAAACAGGGCTTCATCTGACAGATACCACATGAGGAAGGGTTTCTGATCCCTCTCCAGATGCACATTTTTAGGTGAAATTCCATTACTTCCTGAAGGTGAAATCCAAAGTAGTTTTTATTTTTACCGACTCACAGCTTTTCCAGGTTAACCCCCAGTGAGGTTTGCCAGACTTCCTTCAGTCAAAATAAAAGCTCTTAAAAAAAAAAAAAATCTGCTTAAGGTGTTTCTGAAACATTTTCAGTTTTGGTGCCATTCAACAGATTTTCGTGTTCTGCTCAGCTCTGATGAGAAATACAGTGAACAAAGCAAGCTCAGCTGTTTTCACTCTGGGTAGCACATTCTAAGAATCATGGGATCATGGAATGGTTCAGGTTGGAAGGGACCTTAAAGCTCATCCAGTTCCAACCCCCTGCCATGGGCAGGGACACCTTCCACCAGCCCAGGTTGCTCCAAGCCCTGTCCAACCTGGCCTTGGACACTTCCAGGGATGGGGCAGCCACAGCTTCTCTGGGCAACCTGTGCCAGGGCCCCACCACCCTCACAGGGAAGGATATTCTTCCTAAGAATATTCCAGAGAAGTGGGAAAGTGTTGGGTCCTGCTCCCAGCCAGCAGGAGAGCTGCTGTAATTCCTACAGCTGGTGTGCAGAAGAGGGATAACTCTCCCACAGACCCCACTGGACAAAGCTGTAAATACACAACATGTCCTACGAGCACAGCCTCAAACTGGTAACTGCTGTTGGAGCCACACACATCTTTCACAAAGACATTTCACCTCAAGCTAAGGACCTCAAACCATGGAGAAGCCACCTTGCCCTTGGGTAATTTATTTCAGTGGTTAATTACTCCCTGCTAAAAATGTGCACCGTATTTCGAGCCCGGATTTCTCCAGGAACTGCTCTAGTGCAAGTTTGAAAATGAGTTCAAATGCATGCTGGAACAGGATTTGGGGAGTTAATTAATACTGTTTGGATAGCCAGGCGGTAGAGATGTTCAATAAAGCTGACATTTATGTATCACTGCTTCACAAAGATGAAACACACCGAATTCACTTGCAATGCAACAAGCTTGTAGGTTTTTGGACATCTTAGTAGAATTTCAATAAAGTCATAATGAATAATCTACTTAATTTCCACCAAAACCTGCTCTCTGTATCGTAAGGGTAGGGCACTTTTATTTCTCATAACTTAGGGGAAGATATTCACTCCATAGTCCCTTGCAAGCCTGAGCTGAAAAACGTTTATCTTACCATTTTAATTTTTTTTCTCCATGATTTGTAAAAGCTTCTCTTTCCCCAGAGATGGGCACGAGGTTTGGATTGCTGACATTGATTGATTCAAGGGGGAAAAGGATGTAACATCTGATCTGACAAGGCAAGCACAAGCAATCCTTGGACAGATGTTCCAGTGAGAGGAGTAATATTTTGAGCCCTGAAAAGAGTTCTGTTCAGATGTTATCTGAGTTCAGATTCTGCAGGAAATTGTTGTGAATATGCAAAGAGAAATAACATACTGGGAGGAAGAAGTCTTCCCAAATACTGAACAAACTGAATAGCTCTGGTCAGCTCATTTATTGCGATTCTTGATATTCACAACTCACCTAAAGTGAGTGGACAAGGCTTTTGTGTGGCTTCCAAACCACTCAGACCAGCAAATCCAGGGCATGTCCTGCAAAGTGCTAAGACAGGCAAACTTTTCTGCTGTCTCTGCAAAGACAAGTCTCTTCTTCCTCCCCTTACCAACACTCAGCCATCAGAAAAAAAAAAGGTTTAAAGAGATTTCACACTTCCAGAAAAAATAACTCACAAATCACTCCTGCTGGCTGCCAAACTGAGGTGACCACTAAGAAGGGCCAGGAACTGATTTTTCCTATCCCATGAAGAATGATGGGAGATATCAGCATTATGGTCAACATAAAGCTTCAAACTCAAAGCAGTTTTGAAAATCTGAGACCTTCAACTTTCTTGATTTGGGTCTTTTCAACCACTTCAGTTCAATTTAGTTGGAATTAGCTCAGTTCACTCTGTTCCTCTGGTTTGTTTTGCTTTTTTTAACCATAATATTATTACATTTAATGAATAAAACCAAGTTATTTTATGCTGGGAAAAAAGGTGATAACCATAGCCTAGAAATTTACACTTGGATTATTAAAAGAAAAATGAATCTCAACACCAATTTTTGCTGTGGATGACTTCATTCACTTTTCATGAGCTGAGGCATTCCAAATGAAATGGAATTTAGTTCAAAAAATTCCCAACCAGCCCCAGCAAGTTCTTGTGTTTGTAAATCCTTCTTGTCTCCCTCCACAAGTACCTGTTGTGCTTCAATGAGAACCTCCTATCTTACCCAATAAATTCAATATACCTATTTCCAAATGTGGGAAAGCTGCAGCATAGCAACATGTATCCAAGTAAAAATGACTTCAGCAAGCATTTCTCCTCTGTTTTACCGAGAGCAACCTGGCAAGCCTTCCAAGGAACTGACCCTGAAGCAAAACAGATGCACAGAGCCTTGCAACACCTACATCTTCATTTCCAATGTTTTGCTTTCAGAAGAAGTGTAGTTGGCTAATGGAGCTTGGGAAAGCCACATTTTCCTTCAGCTACACCCTCAAAGTAAATCAAGAGTGTCGAGTAAGGAGGAACTAATTCTATTTTGCTTGCTTTCAATAAGAAGGAGAATTGTCTCTCCTCCCCTTCTTGCCCCAAGCAACGGTCTTGGCAGCAAAGAATATTTTTTCATAAAGCCTAATGCAGAAGCAGCTCTCATTCACTCCAGCAAATCCCGTTTAATCCCTGGATTTGTATCGTTTGCTGACTAGACTGAGAAATTTGGCTGCATCTAATCCTTGGGCTTGTGAAGAAAAATGGCTTATTTAAATATTTAGCTGCACTTTGTCAATAGCAGCAGGACGGGGGTGATGGATGACAGCAATTATGCTGGGAGCATCTCCATTAACATGCCACTTTTCCCAGGTATGGAGTCTGCCTCTTGTATGGTTTGTTTAATGATCAGGACTGAGAAGGAATTTTAATGACCCCCGAGCAGCTCGTGCTCACTTGAGGTTGGATATTATTTAGTGGCGTAGGAGTAGCTGGTGAGTTGGGATGATCAGAGCAGTGGATTAGGCACATACTGTGCAAACAAGTTTTCTAACACTTCATGACACCCTAAACCACATCAGCCAAAAAAACACACCAGGAGACAACCAGAGGTCCAGCCCTAAAAGCTTAAGTAGCTCCCAGTGCAATACTGCAAGCTTCTCACCAAATATCTGTCAGCCATATATCTCTCTCACAAAGTATTTTTATGTGTCTACAGAGAGACAGAGAGAATAAAGGCAGAGATACCTCACTCACCTGTACCAGTAGATGCCTTCAGCAGCCCAGGTTTGGGCACAGCAGTGATGTGCTGGTGACACCAGGCAGGGTTTTGCTGGGTTCACAGGACTGTCCAGGATGTCTTCATACACGCCACATTCTCCTGGATTTCCAGATGATGATGGAAGGACCTTCACAGTCCAGTGTGGAGCTGCAGACCTGGCCCATGGCTGTGTGACAGGCACCAAGCTGGGCAGGTACACTGCTGGTGATGAGGGCAAACAGCCCTGAGTCCTCTGGGTGTCAGAAAAAGTCAGTCAAGAATAAATCTGAAGTCATCCACTGCTTTTCATCCTTGGCATGACCATCATTTACAATAGAGTGGATCCAGTTAAATCTCACTGGCCACTGTAAAGCAGATACAACAGGGGCCAGATTCACCACCAAAACTGGAGTTTGACCTTCAGTGCTTCACCCCCAGGCCCAAATCTCTTCTCCTTCTGTCTGGGCCTGGGGTCCTGTTCCTGCTACCATTCTCTATATACTATCCATAAGGTTTCTGCATGCAGAGTGAATTTATTTGAGTGCTACTTTTAATGCTTTTTTTTTGCCTTTTCCCATGGACCTGTGCATACACAGGCTTCACATGAACCATTTCCCCCTTGGTCAGAGGAGTACATAAGAAAGAAATATTTGTTCTTGATGGACTGTTGCAAGTTAATATTGCTGCGATACATGTGAGGTAAGGTGTGATATTCTGGTAAACCCCAGATACTTTCTGAGTTTCATCTGCATGTGGTGTAAATCTTGAGGACTCAACAGGATGCCCAGAGGACAGATAAAGTGTAATTTCATTCTCAGGTAACAGACACCCTTTAAAAAACATAACATGCACTATAAACTATATTATTAAACTGAAGTACTGAGGGCAGTTCTGACTACTAACAGGGCAGTAACAAGGGACACCTACAGTAGTGATTTTCTCTCCATCCTTGGTGCATGTAGGATTTGGAGTCACAAGAGGCAGCTCAGTGTTTCTGCTGTATTTTGGAAAGAGAAAAAACCTGCTCTTCCCCTCTATCCACCAAAAAAATTTTAAAAAATATAGAAGGTCCATTTGAAATCTGCTTCCTCATAAATACAAGCTGGACCAGCACAGTTTTTCTATCTATTTATTCATTCTGCTATGATGTATTACTTACCTTTTGTGTTACAGAAGGTGTGATGAGCAGGTTTAATCAGTCAGTCCACAGAGCTGACCTCCATCCTCCACCTCAGCTTTCACTGCAAAGAAATATGCAGAGGCCACCTTAAAAAATAATTAAAGGCAGGCCACACAAGGGATGCAAACAGCACTGCCATCTATTAATGGAAGTGATGGATGCTCTGTATTAACCTCCCTGCAGTTGCAGCCCTACATCCAGGGAAGGAAGCAGCTGTGAGTGATTCAGTGAGGTTACCTCTTGCAAATTGTATTAATAACTCACTTGTCTGTGTGAACAAATCCCTCCCTCCCAGGCCGAAGGGTTGCACTAATTTAATGGTGCAGGGTTCAGATATCCATATGCTCCTCCAGACAAAGCTGAAGCAGAAAACCTGGAGGTTTGCAGCCACCCTTCCCTGGGCTTTGTGCAACGTCCTGGTGCTGCCCAACCTTTCTTGTGGCATGTGGTGACAGGACAAGGGGGAATGGCTTCAAACTGACAGAGAGGAGATTTAGATTGGGTATTAGGGAAAAACTCTTCCCTGTGAGGGTGGGGAGGCCCTGGTACAGGTTGCCCAGAGAAGCTGTGGCTGCCCCATCCCTGGAAGTGTCCAAGGCCACATTGGATGGGGCTTCGGAGGTTGCCACCATGCTCTTTTAAGCATTTGTGCTCACCTGTTGAATGTCACCAACCTTTTTTCATGGCAATCTGTGAAGTGTAAAATTCCCTTGCCTTTTACCTGCCTACACAGTCCAGTTTGGAGTTACCTGCTAACAGCAATTTAATACTCTGCAGAGATTTCATCCCGTTTTCACTTGTGGAGCAGCCAGCTGACAGCATGTGAGGTGGGAGCCGAGCACAGCTGAGACTGAGAAATCCGGCTGTCCACGTTAAATGTGGGTGGCAGAAGCAGGGAGTATGGAAAGATCCTAGAGAAGGTGGTAATTACCCCAGAGCAGAGATAATTGAAGCAGATGAGCCTCACATGAACCCATGCAATTACATTTTCTTGTCATACACAGTGTGACTGCCCCAACTAGGGGCACACAGTTGCTTTAAAGCCCGGATTTGGGGGTTTAACTGTGAAGACAAAAAACATTGTGGCTTTAACTGGGAAGGGCTTAACATGACTGGAAACTGTAAATGTTATGGCTTCCCAGCAGTACTGCAACCATCACTGTGAACACAGAGCTGTGATACCAGCTGTGAGTGCCTGTGCTGGATGTAATTGCTTTTTTAACTCCTGGTGTTCTTCATCAACCACCCAACCAACATATGAAGCAGAGGAATTCACCATATGAGAGAGGAAATCTCACACAAGATTTGCTCCAGTTTCTCTCAGTGGTGATCTGCTACAAAGAGAAATAGCAACAACAGATTACAGGAGGCACAAGTAAGAAAGGACTGTTTGAAATCCTGACTGAATGAAAGTCACGGGGAAAAAGCTCCGTGAGCCATTTGCCATTTTCCCTAAGGAGCCCTGAGTCTGCTACACCTTGAGGAGTGCTGCCACCAGTTTGGGAACACAGGGACCAACATCTGGATCCAGCTCCAAAGGAGTGGTGACAGCTGGGTTTACAGCTGCTGGCTGCCTGGGCCTGGTGCAGACCTTTCCACCTCTGTCCCTTCAACTCCTGCTGCAGCTCCTTGGGCTTGTAGCTCCCCACTGACCCCCCAGTTCTGCTGCCTTCCACTTCCACCCTCCCCTCTTTTGTACATTCCTGTCTATAGGTACCTCTTTGCTCTATTCCCCACATTCAATCTTTGCCAGGATTCGGCTCCCACTCTGCTCTTAGAACTGTGACTTTAACAACTCAAATTTAAGACAGGGCTACACAGCACAAACAGGAACCAAACCCAGTGAAATCCATGCCCTTCCTACAGCACATAAAGCAGGCAATGACAGATCATAGAATCATAGACCATCCAGAGTTGGAAGGGCCCCACAAAGATCATCCAGTGCAGCTCCTGGCCCTGCACAGACACCTCAACAATCCCACCCTGTCCCTCAGAGCATTGTCCAAACCCTCCTGGAGCTCTGGCAGCCTTGGGGCTGTGCCCACTGCCCTGGGGAGCCTGGTCAGTGCCAACCACCCTCTGGGGGAAGAACCTTTCCCTGAGATCCAACTTAATCCTCCCCAGCAGATGATTTTCCTAAGCTACCCAGCATCAGGCAGGGGTTTTTCCTTCCCTCTATGGGTTTGAATGACTCAGGGAGTGAAGACAGGAACCTGAATGTTTCTGTTTATATAGTAAGGTAAATGTCAAAGCAGTGGAGGAAATTTTCACAGTCGATAGACCCTGAGGACAGAAATACAGAAAGCTGCCAAGTAATGTGTTTCTTGTTTCTAGACACCACCTTTCCCAGGCTGGTGTCTGGACCTGCCTGAGGAGTCCTTCCCCCCCACCTCCTGGATGAATCTGTGGCAGCAGAATTCTGAAATTCTTTACTTATTTTTGCCCAGTTTTTGTTTACAGATCGAATTTGCATTGAAATACAAATACTGTGGGCTTGGGAATCTACTTTCTACAGCTGATTATTTGAGGGAAACTATACTTTCTTTCACCTTAATTCCAGTAAAAGGGTTTTCTTGAAGGGGGGAAATTACATGGCCATCCATTGCAGATTTGCTATTCAGCAAACAGTCCAATTCAGAGTGTCAGCTTCCCTGTTGGTTTGCAATATAGGTTGTGAAACACTGTCATCCTGGAACCATTTACTTTGCACAGTTTCACTGCAGAGAGCTCCTGACCCTACTGAATTTGGCTCAGGAGTTCCCATGTGAAAGAAAGTATAAGGCAGTGGCTTAAAAGGGAACTTGAAAACTGCCAGCTCATTATTCATTTGTTCAGATAAAAATACTAATGATTCTTTTTCCCAGAAAGCCTGATGGTTACTCACAGGTACACTTAAAAGAGAGGGAGAGGTGTTAAAAACAGAAGGACCTATTATCTCCTTGACAGTAGAAGGAAAATAACAACAAGTAAAAATGCCTGAAGCTCCTCAGCCCCAACACTTTCAGGAAAAAGCATTAACATTACAAACACTGCAGTGAGGACAGAAGAAGGATCTCACAGATGTGGTATTTGTAATTTCAATTGTGGTGTGAGTGTTGTTTATGAAGACTTCAACAAATACATGCCAGAACTCTAATTTGGACCTTTCATTTTCATGTGGAAATAATAAAAAATAAAAGTGTTTGTTCTCTCTCTGGCTTCTTCCAGGTATCTTTTGAGCCAGTCAGTTATTTTTAATAAACAAACAGTACTTTTTGTTACAAGAAGCTCTAAATGAAGCCCCATTCAGAATGACAAATAGGCATGAACATCATCTTCTGGAATAATCAGCAGAAAACTTTAGCTGCTCTGATTTCCAGCATTTTTAACAGCAAGAGTAACCTTTGCAGCTCAGGGTTGAATTCCTGGAGGCAGAAAGAGGTAACTTTATTTCAGAGCTACTCATCTGATAGAAACAAACACCAGAGTCAGAAATCATGGGGCTCCTTGCCCCCGATCCTGTAATGAATGTAAAATCTCATCCTCCCTCACTGCTTTAACCCTTCCCAAGCACTGTTGAAGGTAAAGCTCTGCCCTCCACACACACCTCTGTTTTTCTCTGCCCTCTGGGTCGTGATGCTGGCTTTCCAAAACATTACAGAACACAACAGCAATGGAGCTGTAAGGAAAGCAAACCTTGGGACAAAAGGAAGTGTCCAAGGCTGGATGGAGCTCTGAGCAGCCTGGTCTGGTGGAAGGTGTCCCTGCCCATGGCAGGGGGGTGGAACAAGATGAGCTTTAAGGTCCCTTCCAATCCAAATCATTCTGTGATTCTATGAAAAGAAGAGGAAGAATAACCAAGAAAGAAAAAGGCAAATAGTGATTTTCCCTGTGGGGAAAGGCCAGTGCAGCCTTGAGGGACTGATGACGTACTGACTGGGTAGACAACCCTTGGGGAGGACCAATTTAGGGCCTGATTGTTACAGAAAGTCACTGTTGAGGAAAAGAATAATTTGGGTTTATATCATGTCTTTCAGACCCGAGCTATGGCAAAATAACTTGAGAGATGAGGTGCAGCTTAATTTATGACTGAAGCATAAGGGAGGTTTTACGTGCACAGCAGTGCCTTGCAGCCTGCCTTTGGCTGCAGGAGTATTCTGCTGAG